TCATTGGCTGAGGATGTATGATGAGTTAATACACTCAGTGTGGCACATATTATGTTAGAACAGAAAGGAAAGGATACCTTCTTTTCTCCTTGCTCACCTAGAGTCACCCTGAACACACCAACATGCATCTTTGTGCTTCTGTGCATGTTTGAGTATTTGTTGCATTGTTTGGAGTCTCTTAAGATGTTGAATTGATTTAAGTAACCCGGCTGCCATTATGAGATTCATCTCAGTTATAGATAAGAGACACATCTCCTTACTCAGCTGTAATGTGGTTAGATAGATGCACAGCAGCACTGCAGGAGTTTTACAGCTAGATTTCAGATCATTACTAAACTGATCACGTGATTCCTTTTTAAGGAGCTGGCGGATCTTTTTTTTCACAAAAGAGCATACATTCATTTAAATGGACTGTATATGAGCTTATGAATTTGGTCCCATTGGTTCTACACAAATAAAATGAAGCTACGTTACATTTCAACTGGCTGGAATAAATTTGGAACGTCTTATGCAATTTATCCTCCATTATTTATATATTAATGTGAAGAAATCCGTTGTAGTGATCATTTTCTACCTAGGTGTATACATTTTTATTATCTAAAATGATGCTCTGTAGCCTATTGCTCTAAGGTGGATCCGGGCCAACCTTATTGAAAGCACTGAATTTGACACTCAGAATCCCGCTATTGAAAGACATCAAGTTATCCCTCAAGTTCTTGGCCCCAGGTAAAGATAACCGTGAATGAACAGAAGTAAAGATGAGATAATGTTAGACTTAAAATTGGTCGGTCACTGCAGGCAGAGACACCAAATAGGTTTAATGTTTGGTAGGGTGAAGTGGTGTCTTTTAACAGAAGGAGAACTGTCACACCGCCTTGTTAATGAGCCAAGCAGGAAAAGGTTATTGTTATACAAGGAGGTGCACAGCCTGGAAATGACCTGCCACCGCTTTGAGAAATGAGCGTCTGGCTCTGCAGAGAGCGCAGGGCTAAATTCAGGCTCCCTTCTCCATAAAGACACAACTGTCATGTTAATAATTAATCCAGGATACGAAATCTATGAAAAAGGAAGTCTGCTAAACAGCTGTTACATATCGGTTTGCCCTTTTTTAAATGTTAAATGTGAACTCTCAGAAAAATCTCCTGGGAGGCCACTTGACTTCTTTTAAGCAGACGTCTGGCTTTAAGTGCAGGGCTCTGTTCAGAGGAAGCCTTCAATCCTTCTTTTCTTTTGCTTTTTTTTAAAAATTCTTACAGAAAAGAAGCAGCTACGTGCGCCTGTGAAATCTACAAGACTCCGTCTCTGATTTGAAATTAGTTACAGATATAAAATAAGATGTAACAACCGTTCTGACAGCTTCTGGAAAAAAGGGAATCCACTGTGGCGTATTGGCAATTTGAAAGAAATGTCACCACCAATAGCCACCAACACCAGTAACTAAGTTTAACATGTAGTGATAATAAGTCAAATCCATCATTTGACACCATCTCCTTTCATCAGTGCTCCAGCAGAGTTCGGTTTAACCTTTCACTACTGGGTCCTTTAACCCAGATCTATTTTGTCAGCGAGGGGAACGTTTTGGGTCATGTGTGGGTTGTGAGTACGTCCTTGGTGAAAGAGAAGGAACAATTTGAGCTGCCAGATGACCAACTTTAGTCTTCCATAAAAATGTGAGCGGCTGAAACGATTGCAGAGTTAATTTACATAACGTGGCCACACTGAACTTTTGTTGTGTTTCCTTTTTGTGAGTTACATATACTAGGCCAAAAAGACTCATCTGAGTCATGCATATGACAATTAAATTGAATACAAAATATATCCCAACGTCATAGATTTAGTTTCACTTTGCGGCACAAATGTGTTGGTGAAAAGATTTCAGGGCCAGAAAATTCATTAGCTTCATGAAACTATTCAAACCTGCCTTTAGTTTTCTGTTATGATCGTATTCCCTTTTATCTACTAAAACTGTTACTCTGATCTAGTTGTGACACTGTGTGCGCTCTTTTGTGACTGTGCAGTATAACTAGTTAAAGTTCAGTGTAATGGAGGCGACAGGACGGAGGCTGTTGTTATGGCCGAGTCGTTCTCATGGCTTCATAACGTGTCCCTGGGAGCTGAACTGAGACTGCTGCAGTATATCCAGATAATCTACTCATAAACCCTGAAAAGCCCTTCCTCTTGGAAGCAGCAGCGTGGAATATCCGATTGAATATTTACCCTCATCCTTTCAGAAGTTTGCATCATCCGTCCCAGTTATTGATGGAGGACGTGCTTTCCCGTCTCTGATTCAGTGTGTCTGAACATGTATCATGAATTCATCCTGCATGCAGTCACATATGCACGCAAACGGCCCCCTGGTGATGATGGAAGGATGCAATGTGTCAGTCAATGTTTTCAATACAATCTCGAGCTTTGCTAAGTATTATTTAGTTAATGGAAATTGATTTATTGATATTGATCGATATTCTAATGGATTCAGTTGGGATCGAGTCAGAAGGTTTTCCTGTGAAAAACCAAGGGCTTGTGTGCAGATACACCGAGCACCTTCCAGTGTCCTTCTCCAGGGATTATTAAATGTACATCTGAAAGGCCCTGATGGTTGACTCTTCCTGGGTTGGTGCCGCATACAACTGTGATTGAAGTCTTTCCTGTTTTTAAACAGAATAGTTGCAGTGAGATGGACCTCAGGCTTTTTTCCATCCTCTTTCCTTTCTGTCACTGTAAATGTATGTATAGCCCATGTCGCCAAAGTGCATGTTTCTCTCCTTTGAGGCCTCAGTGCACACAGGACAGGGCTGAGGCCGATTGTCTGGACTCAGGGGACAGCGTGGAGAAAAATCTTTTGTGCAGAGTCCGTCCCAAAGGATGGACCAGGGCGATGGGGCGAGACCCAGAGTGTGCATGTGTGAGCGTGCATGTGTGTGTTATTATGTCCGTCAGTACTAGCTCCAACTTATTTATACAGGACTTCTGCTTGTTCAACTATTACTGCATTAGGGGGACAGAGGACGCCCTCCTTACCCATGAGTGTGACAATGCAACGTAAAGTAACCATGGTTTCAACAGCTGTTACTGCAACCTATGTATATAAATCTGGGGCCTTGTTGTAGCAAACCCCCAGAATTTCGAAATCTTGTGATCGCTATAATGTGTGCGTGCTGCAGACTGAAGACTTCCAATATGTGTACTGGCATTTTTCTGTAGGCCCAGTGTGTGCAGGGTTTACCTTGTACTTCTCAATCCCTGTGGCCTATATCACCCGACTCCACATTGCGTTGACCTGCTTTCCTGTGTTTTAGTATGTATTTACTGTGTTTGTATACAAACGGCTTAATGTTACGTGGTCTGACGTGAACTGTACAATCCTGTATGTTGTATCCACTTGCAGCACAATTGCAGTAACCTACATCCACCGTTGAGAACAGAACACACAGCTTGCCCGGGAATTTCTTTTTGTTTGTTGTTGAGCTGAACAAATGATCTTTTCCTTCCCCCCAAAGAATCCGATCTATTTCCCCCCAACCCTCATGGTCTCTGCTTGTGTGACAGCAGGTGCTGTGAAGCTGGGATTGTTTTGTTTTCGCATTTAGGAACTCCAAGCTAAACACAGCACAGCATTTCTTTCCCCCGGTTACTGCGGTATGAAATTCTGCTGTGCGTGTGTCTGCGATACTCTCCACACATAAACATTTTGATAATCATAATAAAAGGTATGATGAATTGTTAGCAATTACCACTCCTAATGTGGAAACGGTGATAATAACCGCCATTGGCAGCTGTCAGTGGGCTTCCAGTGCTGAATGATTGTACTCCTACAATCTCTGCTTCTAATGCTGGCTCGCTTGAAGTAGTTTGTGTCTCAAGATATAGTTAGGCATAACATTCATTATACATGACCATACAAGGAAAACCCGAGGGCAGACCGAGATAATCGTTCTAGTTCATGGGGACGACATGAACATCGGTGTAATTATATACTCACTATTAGTAAGCCAGACTTTCAGTTTAGGGCTGCATGCATTCATTCCCGCTGACGGTGGACAATAGGACAGTAGTCCTCGGCCAGTTTATGTTTTATGCCAGTCAGATTACTTTGGAGGGAAATGTTGATACCAATTACGTGAAGGTGCTCTTATGCTACAGAAGCCTCATGCTAGTGATGTATAGTTATTCTTAGCCTCATCTTAGAGTAGGTCAGCTGGGTAGACGTGACACGACAGCTCACGTAAGGGTTGTGTAAAGGGGGAGGGAGGGAGGATCATTTAAATAAAAGGAGATGGAGGAATAAAGTAAGCTGTATAGGATCCTAGCGCATAGCCTGGTTGTTCATGTGGAGGGCTAGCGGCCCCTGTAGCTCCAAGGCAAACCACGAGAAGAGCCGTCGGGGGGCCTCCTGTCAAAGTGGAGGGCAGTCCTGACCTCAGGGCTACAGTGTGACATGTGAGGCCACAGAGATTACGCCTTCCAGAGGCCTGACACGCAGACGCTTGCCAAGGAGGTTGCATGCTTGCTATGAGTTCACGTTTAACATAATGTATAGACTCCCCAAAGCATGAGGAATTTCTCTCTTTGGTACTTTTATCTCCTGTGTGATCTATTTGGAGCGTAGTGATGCTGCTTTGCTGTCTGAATTTTCAGCACAGTAAGTTTAACATTCCTACAAGACAACAATAGCTTAATTTAAAATTTGAGTCCAAGTCATCTGCCTTTTTAACATACGAATAACCATTTAAAGCAGTTGGTCTTTAACGATGGATATGAACTAATGTTCAATGGCTGCTATCTCATTTTTGCATTCAAGTCCAATATGTGCTTGCTTATTGTGCACATCTAGCTTGTGTTCATATTTTCTACAGAGATGTCTCCCAGATGTATGTGCGGTCTTCTCTCCTTTTACCTCAGATGTTCTTTTCTCTTCCTTTCTCTTCAGTCAAAATGCTGAACTAGATTGGACCGCAACGGTTAACCTGTGTGACTTGTGTAACTCCTTTTCTATACAGGGCATCAACATAGTTGCACCCAGTAATGCAGAGCCCCCACATCAACCTCCAGGTCCAGCCATGTATCAGCTGGACATCATCCTGAAGAAAGGGAGCAACCTGGCCATTCGAGATCGAACAGGTAGGAGCTCTGTTTGTTCTTCCTCTTACCACAACAGCTTTGAGTTTTATGCAGGGAGACGGCGTGGACAGCTTCATCAAGCCTCTACTTAGCCGAGCAAATGAAAAGCAATTGCTGTGTCGCTGTCACAGGAAGCCCAGTACACAGAATGCGGTGTCTTATGCTATCGTATCCCGTGTTGGTCCACTATCGCAAGGTACCCCCTCTTATCTTTATACATGCCTTTTGTCAAGGTAATATTTATAATATTTTGGCACCAACCTCCCTCCCCGCCCACTTCTTCACTCAATTATTTTCTTTTTGTTTCTTCCATCACTCTCCCCGGGTAGGGTTTTATTAGATCACATATCTCGTCCTCACTCCATTTTCAATGTGTGTGGTGAGATGGAATTACTCAGAATGATGCGACACATTTCCTGTGCATTCGGCCATGGGAATGATTCAGCTGCGGCTTAAGCTGCAACACTGCACTTTTGCATAAATAAGCAAATCTCCACCTCTCTATACAAGTGTCACTGCCGGTGGCCAAGGCTTTTAGTGTAAGTAAAGTCGACAGAATTGTATATTTTGCTTATGCGGCACATAATTGATTTGTATAACATACAATAAGATAAAAAAAGATACAATCCAAAATGAAGGATGAGTAGCACTCACATGTTTTGAAAGGGGTCAGCTATCTGTAGTCGTCCTATTTCTCCATTTATAGTAAGAAATCGCCTCAGTGCCGTTCTGGTAAAAAAAAAGGGCATTTCTGCTTTTCTGGGGTGAATGTGATTTTGAGTACAGGCCAGCCTGCAAAGACCAGCAATGCTAGAGATTTACGGGTCTTATTGGGGGTTGTACAAGTCACCAGGACGACGGATCCAAATAAGCTGTCATACTGGCTCCTGTACATTTTGCCCGACTACCTGTCTGCCTGCATTAATGAGCACTGAGCTGCAGCGGTCACTAGTGCTGTCCTCAGGCCGTCAACACGGCCCTTTATAATGAGGGGGAGAGAGATGAAGAAGATGTATAGTGGATTGAATTGAATATGAACATAATGACAGTTAGTGTTGAGAGAGGACGTGTTCAAGATATGATCACATACGACAGTTTACAGGAAGTCATTACAGGTTTCACTATCAGGACATTCACATGTTGCAGCTTTTGTATAGTAGGAGAAGACTAAAGTGAAGGAGACAGACAATATTGTGACTTTCAGTCTAAGCTCCCTTGTCAGAGAAGAGCTTATTTGTTTAATAAAAGTATCTTTCAGCAAGAAGCTGTTGTGGTTTCTATTGGTTCACCAAAATCCCTTCATCAATTATAAATTGCACCAATGGTTTTCACTTTGGTTTGCAATGTATTTTTACAAAGATTTTGCTCTTCTCCATTTTGCTTTGTATTATGGATTGTAAGCCAAATACAACTGAGCTCATGTCATGAAAATGAAATGAATATTTGGGGCCCTTGTAGCCGATGGAAGTATCTGTTCATATGACATACCTCAGTTAAGAAGATATGGAATCCTTGTAAGTGAATACAAATAATTAATTACATTTTTTAAATAATTTTACTTGACACGTGTGATACATTTCCTCCCTCATTTCCATAGTAATGTTTTTGATAAGCAGTCTTTTTCTGAATTTGTTTACTTAATAGGTTGCACCATATGTTTATTCATATTCTAGCCGGCCATTCAACATGTGGATATATCTTTTCTTCTTATGGTGCTTGAAGGTTGTTGTTTTATGAAGCTGGGCAATCACACTACACATGACCTATTTCTCTCATCCTCAGAAGATTGCTTGATAGGACAAAGGAAACCTCACTCACACTATTTTCTGGTGACTGCACAAACAATTGAATACAACCAAAGCAATCTGCTGGCATTGTCATTAGTATCTCTCCAGCCTGCACAAACCAGTTTAAAGGTTCCGGCAGAAACAGCCAACGCATGACATGGTTTTAACATTATGACCAGATAAGAAAGAAGTGGATCTGGATGAAGTAGATTGATGCAGCATTGCAATGATAGCCTTAGTTTATTGTTCCAGCCCAGGAGATTCTGCCGGTCAAATAATCCTGCATTTAATTGAACTTAGCCTGTATTGGAAACACCTTGTTCCTTTGGCTTTGCACTAACCTTGACTTTGCTTTTATACTTGAGCAGCTTATGGGACGTTTTGCAGCTTTGTAGATGACCTCAGTTAAGAACACACTGACCTCGCTGTCTTGATTTATTTCCCAAGCCACAGGCGCCTCACTTCACATCTTCCATTAATCCTTCAATAAAATGCTTGTGAAAGATTGACATTTTTTCTTTTTACTAATTTTAGGGTGTTTTTGACTCATAAAGGTACAAAACATTTGTCGCTCCTGGAATCAGGAATCAGGAAACATTTATTACCAAAAAATGTATGTATGACACACAAGGAATTTGACTTGGTTGGTGCAGGTTGGTGCATAACAGCAGACAGTTGGACGACAAGACAGATAAGACAACATAGTGCAAGAGGAATAAAATAAATTATAAGGCTATGGGTTAGTTTAAGGGGATAACAGTTAAAAATAAAGTGCACCAGTGAACAGATAGCCATACTCTACGCAGCTGTGTTGTGAGTGCATGTGAAAGTGACAAGTGGCTGGTGTATGTGCATGTGGAGTTATGACACTGCTATACCCCATTAGGTACCCATTCTGTACCCTTCCAATGGATACATGTTTGCGCCAGAATAAAAAGGTAAATTTTTCTTACTAGGGTTGTAGCTTTGTTCTTTAGGAGGTACAAAAACGCACCAATGTTGAAGCTACAGCGCTCCTACCCCAGTACAACAAAACATGGATCCTATTTTAGGTCCATTCCTGTACCTTGATTTGTCCTTGTGTAGACATTGGAAAGCTCTCCACTGTTTTGGGTGTATCCTATCATTCATTATTTATCACGTGCTGCTTCTTTCCCATCCTCTATTCAGATACATATACCACAGACACGATATTCCACACAATATAGTGCTAATATTTGATGCAATATTGCAAATGGTTAAGTTACTAATAACTTATTTGCACTAGCTGAAATGGGTTATGTGCTGCAATATCATGATTCCTAGTCCTTACACATCGCTACCGTGGTGTGCTGCTACTTGTGTTTGGTGGACGCTACACGTGGGCTCTGACTAATATCAGTGTGCAGACGGAGAATTCTACAGCGAGCCCAATTAACTCTTCTGCCGCACAACAGTTCTTTTAGGAAAGCAGTGGGAGAGCCCGCTGTCGGCGTGTTTTTATTTCAATACCCCTTCATTGCTTTCTCACCTGTCGAAGCCATTCCCCCGCAAGCTGTGGAGTTTTCTGCTGCGTTTTGCTTCCTGCTTGGTGAGCTCAGCTCGTGTTGAGCAACAATCATACTGTTACGGTATCTCAAGCTTAGTATTATAATTGCAGCAAGATTATGTCGCACAATAATGAAGGTTAATTTAGGGGTTAAGGGGTGCATGAAGCAGGCAGAGGCATCCATGTGTGTGGCTGTGTGCAATTTTAATGAGACAGGCTCTCGGTCCACCTGCCCGCATTTCATGGTAAAGTTTCTTGTCTCTGCACCCTTTTACAGCCAATACATCCTCTTGTCCGGATTGCATTCTGGGTAATGGGAATCCTCAGAACTGCAGCCATAATTCCGTCCTGACAATAGATGCTGCCAGACCTTTCACAGACCCTTGCATCCACACACAGTGCCCACAATTGTGAGCATGAGGCCATTTCCAGGTCTGCAGCTCAGGCATGACTGAGGGTTTCATGTGCAGCTCTACTGCGTTTTCCTCTTCTCCTGTTCTCTCATCTCATGACAAGCATCAGTGAGCCCGTTGCAATGCGTGGTTCTTAATCGCTGTCCCTTTGACAGGCAACGTGTTGTTCAACAATGTGCCGGTCCTCCCTCATCAGAGGAGGCACTTCATTATACGGTTAATAGGGATGTGGTTGTTCATCCTGGGATTTGGTTTGTTCTTTTCAGCGAGAGTCGTCAGGTAATTTTTTCTTCTTCCTTCATTCTCACGGGCAGAACCTTTTTTATGTGGGATTCTGAAATCAGCTTAACTTTGTTCAACCATGTCTTTGGGATCGTACTGTAGGCAGCCCCTTGCAAATAAAGATACTCAAAATACGTAATCCCCAAAGCGGTTTAATGCTTGTTATCCTAGAAATAGTTTTTGTTCTTCACAGAATTACAGTTATATAATGTTTTTTTTCCGTGGTAATGATATTGTAGAGAGAGCACAGGTGCAGATAATATTACAGTGGTTCATTTATATTCAGAACTATTCAGTATTAGTAAGTATAATTGTAGTCTTAATGAATCACACCTGTGCATTTCATGTTATGACATTTTGAAATATCTGCGGTGAAAACGGTCTATTTGGAACAGCAAACTACCTTTTGGAGGTTGTTTGCTTTGCTCTGAAGGTTAATGATATATTTCATAGAGTGAATGATTAGTTTGATTTTTGCAGAGGTGGTATATTCTTTTTTTTCCAGTAAAGGTGACACACTTCTATCAAATTTGTTTCAGGAAATCCTCTTTTAATATATTTGTTACTGGATAAGTTCACAAGTAGAGTGTAAATACATGTGTACTAGCCACTGATCCCATAAAAAAATGGACTTAATCCTCCCGTGTTTCAAAATAGCCCGATTTCATAGTGATATTATACATTATTAATGGCTTTCTGATGCTAGCAGCGTGTGGTTCGTCATCCATATTCATTGAATTTGAACATTCAAAATGTTATCAGTAGGACTCTGCACCCCAATACTTTTAATAGTCCCCCAATAAAAAATATTTTTTTTGTGAATACTATTAGACTACCTAGAAACCAAGTTAGTGAGACCTATCTTTTTTACATCAAGTTTGATACTTATTTTTAGGGCTTATTGCACTTTCTTCTGTAAAAATGTAATTACCTGCTCATATGTTATCAGTTAATGATCCAGGACCTTTTTTACGCCCTGTACTGACTCAGAAAGCTATTGCTCATGCATGTGTAATTAGTAACTACAGATAAATTATTAAAAAAAGGAGGGGGGATAATTTGCTTGATTCACACATCAGTTGAAGTCATTGTGCACAGCTAATGACTAGCCTGTTTAGTTAATTGTCTTTCACCCTTTCATAAGCTTATTAAAAGGCTTTGACCTCCCACCCACTGGCTCAGATGGACAGGAGTCCCCTTTTGCTTCTCCAGAATGGTTCATACAATGTGGAGACCTCATGTCCGACATCACTGTAGAGCCTTCTGATTCCCCTGCTGCCTCTCAAAACAATAACCAGGCAGGCGTTTGGTCTGGAAAACCTGTATTTGTTTGTGTGGCGAAGACACAAAGTGCTAACAGGCGAGTGCATCGATCCTATATATGTGTGAGGAAGATAGTGATTTTAGAGAGAGGAGGTGGTGGTTCGTTTGTCAAGTGCATACGTGTGGTGTAAATCAATGGTGAGTCATTGTTCAGGGGTTGGACCGGACCGTGGAGCAGTTGGAGGCTCATCGACGGGCCTTTAGCTTTCTGAAGGGACTGGCATTTAAATGAAAGCATTGGACTCACTTTGATGAACTTCTCTGTAATTTCATCCTGCCTCTGTGACGAATGTTTGCTACTTAACAACCACAATTCTGCTGATTAGATTATACTTTACTGCATAACTTTGCTGCAGTACTACAATATTTGTCTGGTGCCGAGTCGTTTAAAAAAATGTCGAGTGAGCGGGCGGCTGGATCATGCAACGACTTTGACTAAGTACCTACGGAAGCAAATAATTCAGCTGTGAGCTGGAGACCAAGTAATGTAATTCGCTTTGACTCCTGGAGGGGATTGAAGGAGAAACAGAATATGGACAGAGAGGGACAGAAAGGAAGTTCAAATGGAGGAAAGTAGAGGACATAAAAAATAGTTGGTTGATGTGTGTTTTTTGGAGATAATTTTTGGTTTGAATTAACACATCTATTGCAGATCAAAGCAAAAATATTAGAAAATAACTGCGGTCCCTCCGCGGTGTGATGCTTGGCGTGTATGGACACTTACTGCCTCCTATTGGTAAATGCTGGTATTTTATGGATGCAAAATATGCAAATGAGCAAAATATGGTTAGGTATATTGCTATATTTGAAATGTTGGGAATGCACTGATTTTTTGAAAAGTTGGAATCGGCAAAGAAACAATTGGTGCACATCTACTGTTCGCTACGCTTTTGCTTAATTGAGTTTGGGATAGTCATGGTATTATGATTATACTAATCGTGCAAAGTTAAACATTACAAGTTTAGGGATCTGTTCGATGACTGAAGCTAAGAAAACCTAGGCTTAAACCTGCCTTGACGGAACCTTAAAAATCCGGCGGGGTTACAGTGAATCCACAAAGGTCCGTTCAAGTCCACACTGTCAGAGTAAATCAGGTCAGGTTTAAGTAGTCAAGATACCTGATAGCTGTAGTCCACTTCAGATTATGTGGAACACTGATGAGCTTATAGAAATCCAATCAAATGATTTTGTGCATTTGGGTGGAAAGAGCTGAGTATTTTAGAAGAGTAATGTCCTTTGGAATGTTCCGGAGAGATTTGCACAGTCTGAGTGAGGTACTGGATGCGTGAAAACAACAATTATATATTTGAATATATATACTCTTGAGGTGTCTTCACTTTGATTGAAGCATTTTGCTGTAAATTATTATTTTAATATCATTTTGTATTCCATAATCACAATTCGAAGGGTTTCTTTGCTAAACCTCGTTAGTCTTAATCCTCGTGAAATATGATGATTCAAAATGTGAAGCTTTTGGCAGCTGTTTAGATTCGGTTGACAGATTGTACTCCGCTGTCTGGCAGATGGAAGGCAGCCACTAAGCAGTATTTGAATGGCCTCCGTCCAAGGTGTCTAGGTGTTTGGTAGAGATACATGTGTCATGGATTATTTTTTGCAACGGTATGTCTAGAGGACAGAAAGTAACTCGCAAAAGCAAGTCAATCAGGGGCTTTTAGATCTGCCTGTGCGCCGCAAAGCCCAAATTACCTGCTGAGCGCACCACTGGGTCCTCTCACAATGTTACAGATGCAGGGACAATTTTTTAAGTCTTCTAGAAGGTACGATGCATTTAACTGGAGGTTCAGAAATCCTCCAGGTTCAGAAATCTCAACGTTCAAAGCTGAAATCGCTGTTGTTGAATTAACTTACAATTACTATTAAGTGTTAATTAGAAAAAAAAACTGATTACACGTTTTTAAACGTACTTTAGTAAATTGTCTTTTTCCTCCTACATATAGCTCCAACGCCTCAAGAGTAATGCTTCTCAACTGTAGGAAGATAGAAAATCTCATCGTTTGCTCCTCGGGCACCGACCCACCTTCGCCGTTTCATCGGTCTTTGACACATCAGCTCCTTATATCAAGTCTTGTATTAAACCAGCACTCCTATTTCACATCCTTCTGCCTGCAAGGTGGCCAAACACCCAGAGTGCACCAATCCGTCAAACCTGCTCCCTTTAGGCATTCTCGTCAACCATTATTATTTCTCTGAAAGCGTATTGATCTTTGTCATCGTCTTACCGATTCATCCCCAAGCCCATATGTGGCACGTTCAAGAACTCCATTCTCCTCCATTGTGGACTTCATCTGAATTTCGGGGGAAACGGTTATAGAAGAGACTATAAAAGATGAATTATGTCACACAGTACATGGATGTCGATTTCCAAGAAAGCACCACTGCCTCTCTACTGTGTGTTCTACCCACACTCCCTCATATTAATAGGACTCTCCTATCGCCATTGTGGTTTTCTTGACCATTCCTTTGGTTATAAGCGGAACTTTCGGTTTCTGTATTTCCTATTTATATGCATTTTTATGTATTCAAGCACTATTCAATGTGTGTGTGTGCGTGTGCGTAAAAAATAGGCTGTCTGCCAAAATTATGTTGTGCCTAAAAGATAAATCAGTTGTACCACCTAGTGACCACATAGAAGCACTGCATGGAACGTGTATATCCAAGCTTTAGCATTCATTGCTGGTCACCCTCTTATACAATAGACCCGAGTCATTTTCTCCTTTGGCCTTCAGAGGAGTGTGTACAACTATCTCGGTCAGAAAATAATTTGAGAGATCAAAAGATGTATTTTCTTGTGACAGTGCAAGCGAATACCTGTGTGACATATATGTGCAAATACTGTGCAAACATATGCGTTGTGCATTTGGGGAAAATACTTTTTCATCATGCATGGTTAATTGGAACTTGTTGAACACACACTGTCGGTTGCTGGTACTATTCTTAATCCTGAAGAATAACAGTGTTTCTCTTGTGTTTTCTGTCTTTTCCTTGTAGGCACCAGTGACCCATATGTGAAGTTTAAGATTGCAGGGAAGGAGGTGTTCAGGAGTAAGACCATTCATAAGAACCTGAACCCGGTGTGGGATGATAGAGTAAGCCTTCTGGTGGAAAGCCTGAAGGACCCGCTATATGTCAAGGTAAAGAAGCATCCTCCACTTCAAATGTCGTCCTACTTTAATATAATACTAGTTTTGGGTGATCTATGCAAGCATCTTTTCTTAAAGATGAAGGAGGTTTTTATTGTCATTGTACTCGTGTACAACACAATTATGTTTGGCTGCTCTCAGCCAACCAGCAGCAGCAGCAAACAACAAAAGCAACAATATCAAATAATACACAGTTTGGACCCATTTTCTCATTGAATGAGAACATGTGTTCAAACCTCTGACTGTCACTGTACAATACAAATACATACAGACTTAAGAACATTACTACAGTAATACAATGCATACAAACAGGGCTGTGTTCACATTTGAAAGAGTAAAGTGTCTTCAATGTGACTGATGACGTTTGCATGTGGTCTATGGGCTCTCCTTTGGCAGGACGACTGTACAACTGCATATTGTGTCTCTTCCTAGGTGTTTGACTATGACTTTGGACTTCAGGATGATTTTATGGGCTCAGCAAACCTCCATCTGGAGTCACTCGAACATCAGAGGTCTCTTTTCCTTCTTTTATTTCCTCAGTAATTTTCAGTGTGACTTATGTGTTTTGCTGCTTGCTGCGGTCATTGGATAGTTTGTTGTCTCCATCTTGTGTCAGTCTTTGGTAATTCATCTAGAACTTTATGAAACATAACAGGGCTATTTGGGGATTTGACATTGAAGTATATGATGGAATTTTATTCCAATTTTATAAATTAATTATGCAAATTGAAAACGTAGCTTTAGACTCATTCATCTGTATGAGCTACATCATTAAATTAGACCATTAGTGAGCAGAATATTTCTATGCAGTTAGTATTAATGCTGTTCCGACAAAAAAAGCCATGCCTTGCATTGTCTTTTCCACTTCCACGTTATTGGCGTTTACAATGGTGTTTTCATTTGCCTTACACCCTCTTCATTTGTGTTGTGGCTATTGAATTTGTATTCTTTTTTTTTTTGCATTGTAACTTTTTTATCTGTGTTGTGGCATTAGTATGTGTGTGTAATCTGCATATGTGCGATCCGATTGGTGATGCTGTAGGTTTCACAGATTTTGCACATTCTCGCAGGTGTTTTCCATTACTTTGAGTACGCCGGTTGTCAAGTGTAATGTTGATTAGCCATGCTGGCAATATTAAGTTTGACTTGGAAATGCATGAGATTTTTATGAACATCAACAATGGTTCCAATCTATCGAAGCATCCCAGCACAGTAAGCCACGTCTGTGTGGCAGTTAGCCAGGATACTCAATACCAGACCAGGAAACCAGAGCAAATTTAGCAATCTTTTATTCAACAGTTTTCACCACTTTTTTGTCAACCTGCAACATGTCGAACTGTAATGATTTCAATGATGACTTAAGTGAGAACACCTGGGTGGGTGTAGCGTGGGTGTGGGGAGGCTTCATTATTCACAGGAAAGGGCTCAATCAGTCTGCTTAATGCATTTTCATCAACATCAAATGTGAGTAATAATGTTTTTGTAGTACTGTCCCGCCCCCACCCAAAACTCCCCAAGGTCAAAATCATTTCTGCTCGCACTGTTGTGAAATAGCTCTTATCAACAGTAATCACCTGCCATGCGTTTTACTAATTAACTTCCTTATGCATAATTCAGATTGCTAGACAGGCTGACCGCTATTGGTCATTGTATTGTTAGACCTGTAGGGATTTGAGTATGTGTTTCCACTTTATCTGTTCATGAAATTCATGCCTTTTAAGTACATGCACGTAGGTGAAATCCATTCACTCAATGTGTTGGTATTGTGCAGTATTCACGTAAGCACTTGCAGTACCCATTTGTATGTTGTTTACTGGGCATCCTTTTAGGACACTGGATGTGACGCTGGACCTGAAGGACCCGCAGTATCCTGAACACAACCTGGGCAGCCTGGACCTGGCGGTCACTCTATCACCGAAGGAGGGAGACATGAGGGATGCCGTAAGAGACATTTTATATTTAAGACTCATTACTCATTCATTTTGGTCTTTTTCTGCACACTTTACATTTCCTCCTCAGTCAGGGAAATAATACTTTACCATCTTACCTACCCTGCTGTTTGTGATTAAGATAAGGAATAATATGCCTCTTATAGCTTTAATATATAAAAAAATAATCAAAATCCACTCTTGACGACCCAAATAAAAAACAAACAAAGAAGTCCAATGCAATGCAATATAATATAATATGTATCATATTTATCCATCCATAGATCAGAGACAGTGATCAGGAGGCAAGCTGTGTTGAACTGGAATGTGCTGGCTTCATTCAGCATCAGTTACTAGGAACTCGGCAAAAGCATACGCATAAACAGTGTAATTAATATGTTTTGTGGAAAAGTTCCATGTTCAAAGAGCACGGGATTCTCTTTCCTAATTATGTCAGTTTGTGCCTCCGCGGACGTACTCAATGTTTGAGTTGCATTTATTTCTGTTCAATTATTTTGTTTGCTTAATTGGACCCCAGCATGCTCGATCTGGAACAAGGCAGAGTCATGGGGGAAATATTTTATTCTTTTTGATCTGATGTCTTAATTCTGCTGCTTATTTAGTACCGTAGTTCAGAGAGTCCACATTTGACAGAACAAATAAATTCTATTTAGGTTAAGTACCATTTTGGATTTCTCCAACTGTTAAGGAAATGAGTACATGGTGAGACTGGTACCTTCTCTATTGCCATCTACTGGTATCAACGGGTATCGGAAAATGCAGTATTTTTGAACATCCTATAATATATAATATAGTTGCGTTGCAATGCCTTCAAAGAATATGTCCTCCCTATCTAAGGGATCGTAATCCTCCCCCAGTACAAAAACCCTATTCTGTTTACAAGGTGATTCTTGGAGCCAAACAGAAAAGTAAAAACTGAGTCAAACAAGGAGTCAGCTAGTATTTAATTACACTTCTGAAAGTATCAAGTATAAAAATAATGGTTACACTGTATTAGTGGCACAAACTCAAGCTAGTGGTCTCCTACACGTGCACATTTTATATGTGTAAGTGTGTTGGTATGTATGTGCATGAACACAACACCATATCAAGAGCGCTTCTTGTACACTCCCTTACTCAATTACTTACTTACTTACTCCACTTGGATGAACGACAACTGCTCTTGTCTTCTTATACAACCCCGTTTCACCAGGCTATGGCTAACATGTTGACATTACTCATTCGCATTAACCCGAGAGAGGCAACGGGGACGCGGGGGGCGCACTGTAACAGCTTTGTCTCATTTACAGACCATGCTTTTGAGAAGGAACTGGAAACGATCTTGTAAGGTAAACTAAAGCAGCATGTAACTAACCCTAACCCGCACAACTCCTGTCCTGCACTCTTGACTTTTGTCCTGGTGAATGGATGCAGTCTCCCTTTCCCTTCCTCCCTTCTTTTGCTCCCTCCACATTGGTATCAATGTTTTTTTTCAGTTCTTGTTCTCATTGTCATTGTTTTATTTTACACACGCTGCAATATAACACCTGCTATTCACCTCACCTGAGGGGAATGCATGTGCAAAATAGGCTACGCGTGACTTGTGTTGTATTTACAAGTGTGAAAGCGAGACATAAATAAATACAGACCCAGGGTGGAAGTAATGCAGAACAATTTTTTAATATATTTACATATTTAGTTTTAGAACATTTACAATCTGGCTAAAACTGCAGGAATTTACAATGGATTCACTGTGTACGTTTCCTGACAATTAGAATAATCTGTTTTGAACTTTGTCCTTTCAAGCTATTAAATTATGCAGTGATACATCCATGCTTCTTCCACCTTTGATCTGCACAGTGTACTGCAAAAAATGTGCACTTTATTTGTCTTGAGGGGTTTTATTAGTCCTGTACAGCAAATCAACTGTGAAACATGAAAGTTTGTTGATGAATGTGGACTGATTACAAGGTACTCTTAAACCCCTTTGCATTAAGCACACATCTTTGATGTTCACATTACTTCCATACATTAGAGATTTGTTTTATTTATTTCTTTCCCATTGGCTGTAAGATTATAAAAAAGCATGCTGGTCAATTTTTTTCTTTTTGTTGGCTCAATGCTTGAAGCACTTACCTTACTTTTGGTGAAATTGTATCAGGGGCAATCTTTTTGAACACCACTGTGTTATTGACCGCTTTGTTTTCCCATGTGTCACGTTTCTAAACTTTCTTTGTAATGTTTTTTTTTCTGTTTTGTTCAAATCAAGTTCATCACCAAAGAATGACTGAATCTAGAAACACAGTTTCACTTTTTAGTCAATCTCTTCATTTGCAGCTGGAGGCACTCCAGTTAAAAGTGTGATATCCCTCCAAGAGACACAGACACACTTTGAATGTTGTGGGTCAGAACCGCGCAGACGTCCTGCTGTATCAAGCTTCCCCCGAACCTTTGAAGCTTCCAAACTGGGCCACATTGCTGACTCGGGGAATTGGCTCAAACACTAACTAACTCGCTGCTGTGTTGCCCCTCCAAAAAAGGCACTGCTCCCGAGTACCTCCGTTCCTCCGTGCTCGCCTGCCTGGCACACGGTTATTTTTACACAAACACTTATTTTTAATGAAGCATATAAGTGTTTAACCCACAGCAGAAGATGCTGTTCACCAAGTAGTCTGAGATCAAGATAATGAGTCAGATACGTATTACTGCCTCTGATTTTACCACAAGGTACTTGAGACATCTTCTTTTATCTTTCAAAAGGAAGGGAGGAGGTTTTCTGAAAGGCTGTGTCGGTTCCTAAACTGAATGGCAGTGTCCTTTATTAGACTATCAATCTCCGACCATCTAAGTGCAGGATCTCTTTCCTGCTGTGATCTCTCAGAAATCTGTGGATTCCCAAACCAAACAGCCCGTGGGTTTCTTAAACAAGAAATATGTAGAAACAAAACACGGAAACAATCCGGCTAGTGCTCGAGTAGGACACAACAAAGACCTCGCTTCATTAGCATACAGTGTGTTCGCAGCAAGTGAACAGGAGACATTAAAGATGTGGGAGTTGCTGTATGGGAGGTTGGCTGTATTGCATGCAGCCATTTGCATTGTTTAATGTCAGGAGAATGGAAATTAAGAGGCTCCATCTCCAGATCAAAGGCCCGTGCTCGCGAGGCAGGGTTTGTTCAGAGTTTAATGAAATTCGCCTGCAAAACAAAAGCTATGCTAATAAATTCCCCCTAACGAGGAGAGAGAGAGAGGGTGAGAGAGCGGGTGAGAGAGACAGTGAGAGAGAGAGAGACAGATGTATTTTGTTTGATAAATAAATACCCTGCTATTTGTTTTAGTGAAGGATACTGACATCATTCAAAGAGAGGTTAAATAGGCCTGTTAGTGCTTTTGAGAACTGTAAACCTAAACAGAAAACCTAAAATAAGGAGAATCATTAATCTGGATTTAAGGGGCCTGTCAACTCACATTACAGTCCGATGGAATAAGAATTTCAGAGTCACTGGAACAGCATGTCAGGGGTCTGCCTGTGTCCGATAAGATAGAATACAAATCACTTGCCTACTAAGATTTGTTATATTAACTAATAATATGGCAAATGAAATGCCAGACGCACACAACAACATATACAATCTTGTGCAGACTGTAAGCCATTTTGTCTACAGTCAATTTTTAGTAATGATTCAGAGGTTACCGTGAATGATGTTTCTCATTATTCCAAAGGAAATGTTTGTGATTTCTATCCTTTGTGGGATACTGTTTTGTGATTCATCGTGATGTTCAGACATGTTAGGTTTGTCCTCACGTTAGGGATACATTGCATCGGTGATTTTTTTTTTGATTTGGTGTATGAGTCTTGTGTGATTTTCCTGCTCCTCTATTGGTTTTCTGGATGCATTTGTAATCACTTATTCTCCTTTCGACCTGGTGTGCATAAGCCGTACTTCAAGCGTGGACACATTTTACTTTGTGTCCATGCTTGTTTACATATCAACACACACGTGTTTGTATTAATGTTTCTCTGATTATGTGTGTGTTTGTGTGTGCTTGCTGCAGTATCAAAGTATGCGCCTGTCAGATGTGCACAGAAAAGCCCAGCTGTGGCGAGGCATAGTCAGCATCAGTTTGATAGAAGGTCGCAGCCTCCAGCCCATGGATGCCAATGGCTTCAGTGACCCGTACGTCAAATTCAGGATGGGCCACCAGAAGTACAAGAGCAAGGTACAGCCTCTCCTGTTTGACAACGTTTCCTTCCAGGCTTACCTCCACGGAGTTCTTTTGTTCATTTCAATATTCAGCACACACTCGAGCTACTGAGAAATACCTTTTCACTTATAGAACTGTTTCCCCTCTGTTGTTTACTCAGACAATTCCCAAAACGCTGAACCCCCAGTGGAGGGAGCAGTTTGACTTCCACCTGTACGAGGAACACGGCGGCTACGTGGACATCACGGTCTGGGACAAAGATGCTGGCAAGAAGGACGACTTCATGGGAAGGTACAGTGGTCTGGTAGCACTCCATAACAGCTGCACCCCATGAAGCATCAGTTATGTAAACATTATTTTGAATGAATTAAGTATTTACTCATACCCAACTAGTTCTTCATTATAATGTCTCACCAGTGGTCCTCGTCTGTCCTTCTAGCTATCTTGTCTTTTGTCAGGCTGTATAAATAGTAAACATAGCTTTCCAAAATCATGTGCATGATGACATTAAGGACTCATTCAGTCCGGTCTTACACAATGTGTGTCTACAATTCAACATGGCTCGTGTTTATAGAATAGCAGCGTGCAGGCTTGAGGAGGCCCATATTTTTGAACTCCGCACCCAAGGCCAGTAAAGCCTTTTTGGAGGCATTGGTATTAACTGGAGATAAATGATGGCAATGCCAGAAAAAAAATTCAGTTAAGAAGTCATTGTTTTTTACTAGGCGCTGGCCATTCTCCAGCAAAGAAATTGGATGATTTTTTGAGATGATAACTAGTAGAACACTGTTAACTTTAAGGACATTCTGTGAATGTTATTACATCAGACTGCCTATTTCAGCCTCCACTCCCCAACATGGCAATAATAGCTGTTATTTAAGTTTAGTTCTTAAGCAAAGAGAGTATGTGTTTCAGCACAGTCAGCTTCCCCACAAAATGTAATTTCTCTGTGCATGTGTGTGCACTTTAGGTGTACTGTCAACTTGTCACATCTCACTAAAGAACACACACACAAGCTGGACCTGCCGCTGGAGGAAGGTGAAGGTCTGCTGGTGCTGTTGGTTACGCTCACGGCTTCGGCCGCCGTTTCAATCTCAGACCTGTCAGTCAACATGCTGGACGACCCGCACGAAAGACACCAGATCATGCAAAGATACGTGAGTCTGTTTTCTAGTAAGAGCGGCTTTGTGGGGTTCATCAAATTTTTGTCGGTAATTCATATTTTCTTTTTCACGTAGCTAGAACAGATTTGACAAAGTAGCCCATTTAATACTTATTGATTATATGCCTGCTATTATGGCGACTTCTATTAATCAGATCTTTAATTCATTAATATATTTAACTTCACGTGTGACACATAAATGTTTCAAACAACTCACATTCACAAGATTGTAATATTGTAAAGTCAGAATTGTTTCACATTTTATGAAGGATCTAACTAATATCAAAAAAAGGAAATGTTTCGCACACCTTGATGAAATGATTTTTAACATTGTGCTCATTAAGTTTAGACTAATCGTTTGTTTCTGTTGCTATAATTCATTCATTTGCATCAGCGTTATTCAGCGAGTCTTGCAGTCATGATTAATGCATGTTGGGTAATTTATTTGTGTGTAAAATGGCTTGTTGTCCTTGCTTTGAGTTTCCAGTAGTAGAGGGAGTGAGAAAGAAAGAAAGAAAGAAAGAAAGAGAGCGCTCTAAGGCCCCATCTGGCCCAGAGGCCCTCCACTCAACACAATAGTTGAGCCCGAGTCTTTGTCTTAGCCTAGTTAACCCCTCGCTCCCTGTCATCTTCACGCCTCGCTACAAAGAAGCACTCACACACATGCTCGCTCACACAGACTTTCAATAGGTTTCATCTACTGACAGCCTTGACATGGGACGTTTCTCTAGATATCAACAGAATGAGCTCGTATGCCTGCTGTAAGTCGTAAAGGACTTGATGACCTTTTACTTTTATTTACGTATTCTTTTTACACAGTGTAGGAAGACGCAAAGCACGTCATCCAATGAGTACCACTTGGTTCCGTGTGCTTTCATGTGCGTGTGTCCATATGCTTTACTGTGCACGGCAGTAAGTAGCTAGCTGTGTTTGAGTGATTTTATGTGCTCTGATCTCAGTTAATGTTACTTCCCAGCTGGTGTGTGTTTCCGTCTCGCGGCGTGGGCATTGGCGCCAGCGGAGAGGCTCCAAAGGCCAAACATGGGGGCAGCGACCTACATAACCGTGGCAGTGCCTCATTGGCTAGCCACGGGAGGTTGACCACTCTTCTCCGCGCTGCAGCGACCACCTGAGATCAGAGGGGGGAGCTCTAGGATTGGCACATGCTGTGCCTCTCCTCACACAGCCACAAAATGAGGGCGTAGAGAGAGTGTGTGTGTGTATGTGTGTTTGTATGAAAGTGTGTAATAGAGGGCGAGAGGTAAAGGATGAGGGTTACACCGGGAAAGGAAGGCGTGTAAAATGAAAAGAAAAAGCTATTTCACCTCTCTCACAACTCGTGCAGACCCCGTTTTTTCTGCTCGGCTGAGGGTGAGACGTTTTCCTTCCTCCGCCTGCCTCTCTTTCTGCCTCCTTCTTTCTCCAGCACTCTCCATCTCTGTCCCGCTCTCCCGGCAGCCTCAAGTCTTTGTCTGTTGGCGCTGTGGCCCTCCTGTCAGATGAAGGGATGGAGAGATAGAGGGTACAGGAAGGTGGGGGGGGGAGTCAGGTTGGTTTAAAGACTTGAATGGTCTCTACCTATTAACATATTCATTTTCCCCGGTTTGGCCGTCTTTCAGTTCGAGAATTTAATAAAGATGTACCTTATCAAAGAGCACTGATAAGACCAAGTACCACCTCTAATACATAACAGTGCTGCTGAAAGCCCACTAATCTGCTGTGTGTGTGTGCGCGCGTGTGTGTAGGTAGGTGAATGTTATTATGCTTGGGCACATTTTTACTCACTGGTTCATCTCCTTGAAATCAGCTTTTGCTGCACTCACAAAGCATCCGCTTCTGCTAATTACAAACAGGTAAATACATGCAAAAACAATACCTTCCTACGCTCACTAATAGTTCTCTTATTATAATAATAATAAAAGTTGGGGGTTTGCAAAGAAACACAACGTTAATAAGAACATTGCTGTTGTCATCATAGCTTTTTGAGAGCAGACACCTTTGCAAAAGAGGGAGAAGGGGGAGGTATAATTTGGTTTAAGCCGGCCTTCGGCAGTGTGCCCCTTCACTACTCCTTGTGAAGACAAACACACACACAAGTTTACTTTAAGGCAGTGTGTATAACATTGGGTTTCAAAATGTGTATACGGGTAAACAACAATGCATGCACTTACAAGCATGCACATTCAGTTGGAAAAGTTGAAACACCTGAAAATCTAAAAGACATTTCATAATTCAAAGCCGACAAATGTCTTTTCCACACACACATCCACACCCATATATGCATGCGCACGCACACACACACACACACACACACACATACACACACACACACACGTGTACACACACTGTGTTGTTTTTAGCAGGTGTTTTTTCCTCATCCCAATCTGTGGCCATTGAAGACAGCAGATAATAGACACCTGAGTGCTGGGATTTGATGTTAGCGCTGGACTCATTAAGGTCTCTCTCCTTCTATCTGTCCTGCATAGCCACTGCTTTGTGTGTGTGTGTGTGTGTGTGTGTGTGTGTGTGTGTGTGTGTGTTTATCTGCCAGACTTGTGAGTGCCTCCGTACACTTGAATGTACCGCATATATGCGCGTGAATGAGTACACGTGAAATTTCTACCGCAAGCTACTTTGAATGCAGCCGAGGCCGAGCCATATGCAACACGGTGCAATACACTTAGTGTCAACTGCCTTAGATGTAGTATCTCTCACCGTAACCTTTCCTTCATCCCTAATTACTGTTTCCCAGAAGCAGAGAGGGACATAGGGAGAGAGGGAAAAGGAGCGATAAAGAGATTTATGCATTATGACGGCAAAGGACCACACACACTAATGGCTTTTAATGGGCCCGAGCTGGCCGCAAGATGGGTGGATGAGAGAAGGAGGACGTGGCGACCTCCGCTGAAGTGGTGGCACTCCACCACCCGCCCACATGTATGCACGCTCACACACACACCTGCACCTTCCTCTCCCACTCACTCCAGCGCGCCGCTATACGCCGACGACAAAGGACACATCCTGGACACAAAGTGAGACAAGGGGCAGCAGTACAGTGTTGGACGGGCCGAGAGCAAACTTTGAGAGGGGCCGGTGGCGAGGCGATGCACAGGAGCGGGAACAGGGTGGTGCCATTTGGTTTGCGTCTGAGCATTAACGGTTGTGATTTAATCTCCCCTGAACTGCACGGCAGCTGGGTAGACGCTTTCTGTGTGTGTGTGCGTGTGTGTGTGTGTGTTATATGGAGCGCTGATGAAAGGTGACACGATGCAAAGATGACAGTCAGTCATAAGCCTGCGCTGCGGTTGATTTATCTGTGTTTGTGAGTCTGAGTGCGACGGCGACGGGAAGAAGATGTCACGGTGACAAGATGTCAATCACAGGCAGGGCGGGGGGTTGTTTTATGAAAGACAACTCTGTCCTTCCATTTTTCTCTTTTCCCCTCTGTTCATCCCATCTTTTCATCTCCCCCTCCACCCGTCAGTCTGCCCGCGCGCTGACGGGTGTGTAGTGAGACGTAAATGAGAGGGTGGGGGTCGGTCATGGCCTGCCTTCGTCTCTCTCCCTCTCCACCTGTCTGTCTGTCTGTCCGCTGCATCTTTCGCCGTTGGTCCTTCTGACGAGGATGTTCTCGTATTCTCTCCCCCAGTCATCGACGTGGGTCGGACCCTTATTGTGCGCACACACACACTTTGGTGCAGACGAAAAAAGTAGTGACATTTGATTGTTGGCTTACTCCTGCTGAAGACATTAAACCGCATTTTATCCTTGTGTCATCCTCTGCTGCCTCCCTACGGCCCTTTTTATCACCCCTTTTCTCCCTCTGTCTCCTTTCCTCGCTGGTTCCCAATAATCAAAACAAGCAGCTGTATCTTCAGAGAAATCGTGTCTTAAAATTGAGAGTTGTCTCCTCATTGCCTCCCTCTCTCGCTCTCTCGTTCCCCCTCTTTCTTTCACACTCTTCCCTCTCATCTCCTTTAGAGAGCTTTTGGACAATGATATCGCTGGAAACAGGCAGAGTCTGACCGAGTTAGTAATAATAAATTAAGTCTGTAGCCTGGCCCTGACTCTGAAATTTAAATTATAATTACTCCTGTGGGGATGGAAGGGGTTATTGCCAGAGAGAGAGAAATAAATTGAAGTGAAGTGCATTTCCACTTTGCTTTTAAGACACACCAACATGCTACTCAATTTGGCCTCAGTATGGTTTTGTCTATTTGTTTATACCTGAGTATTTGGGTTTGAACAAAGGCGTGAGTTTCTGATTGTGTGTGTGTTTGTCGCTGTGTGACCATGCATCATTGCGCGGCCGTTCATTTCCTCTTGTGTTCCTTTATTCCACAGACTTTTTTTTTTTTTTTACACCGTTTTCAGCATACTGAGCATACAAGAAGAACTAGTATATGTGTCCGTTAACTGAAATGACTTTGTTTTATAGTTACAGGATGTTGTGTGAGGAGCTGAGGGGGGGTGTGTGTTTGTCTCATAACTAGAACCCCGCCAGACACACTCGATGTCTCTATTCTCCGTGACATATCTATTATAATATTAGTGGCCTAATAATCTCTGTGTGTCTCTCAGTAATTCAAATACCACACAAGCCGATATGTAGGTATCCTACAACAATGCGTTAAAATCAAGAAGACCACATCCAATACAATTTGTGCATGGCTTGTATTTTATTTTTTACTCTTCTTACACAGAATTAATTTTTGTAAGAATTGTCTTATTTAATTTGAATAACTTCCACGTTGTCTTTCTTGTTCTACTAATAATGCTGCTATTCTCACACGCACACACACAATCGCACTCTAAGCGCCTCCTTTTCTCTTCCACACAAAGTTTGAAGAAACCAACTAACGCGGGGTCTACTAAAAAAATGAGATTCACCCATCAGCATTTTCCTTTTTAAAGTGCCCCAACGGTCCCTGTGCTTTTGGTAAATAAATCAAATAAATAAATCAGCTCACTGTTCAAATAATACAAATCAACATGTATGAAACTGTATTTAAACACATGCATTTGGTTCACGTTGGGCATGGGGACGATGTCCACATCCCACAAACACTTTCTGCCAAGACGGTTTGAATCTGGCAGTCAATATACAGAACACTTTGGGAAACCCCTCTTTTCACTGAAACACAATGTGTAACTCTGTCCTCTCATTACTGACCAATTAACTCATTCTTTATGAGTGGAGAAGTACAACGCCTCTAACTCTACATGCAACCGGGGAAAGGGTTTAGCTTAGAGAGAGAGTTGTTCTTCATGCAGCTAGCCTTCCCCTTGTGTAATGGGAATAGACACAATGCTGAAATGTCATCTGCATAGCATGTAACGGTGTTGAACTCGCCTGTTGTCTACAATGACCCCTCTTTGTGTTCCTTTTATCTGCCGTCTATATTTCAGCTCATCCTTCATCAAAATCAGTTAATTTTCAGAGAAGTACAAAGTTAAAAAACATTTCAAACCGGCAAGAACAGCAACTCAGGGAAATTAAATCTAGCCGCTTTTCCTCTGTTAGACTCAACTATAAAGGCCAGCTCTTTTCAAATAAGAGGACTGTTAAAGGACACATTTTACCCTTTTCCTCTCTTAATGAAATGTCAGGCTATTGACCTGCCTTTCTCTTCAATGCTAATTTGGCATCTTCTTTGACCTTTCACCATTGTTTCTGATGTTTCAGAGTCTGTGGAGGTCATTCAACAACCTGAAAGACGTCGGCGTGGTGCAGGTGAAGGTCATCAGGGCCGATGGACTGATGGCAGCGGATGTCACAGGTAAGAAGGTGACCTAACCTCCAAAAAACAGGACGATAACCTCTGCAGCTCTCAATTACATTTTTCACTCTTGTATTTGTGTCTGTGTATCCATAGTAAAATAATCTTCACTTTTGTTGTTGTTTTGCTATTTTTTCTGATACTGATACACAGAGTATTATAGTAGGTAGACCATCTAATGATATTAGTAATACTATCAATAATGATGGTTTTTTAAAATAACTTTTGGTTGAGCTTTACATATAGACATTAAACTGTACCTGCGGGGCATTTTTTCCGCACCAGCAAACTTCCATAAATAAAGATGCAATCAGGGTTTACTTTTGGTTTAAGAAAGAATCCTGTAGTTAAAGTCTGCTTTTTGAGATTGGACACTACATTTTTCTGTGTTTTTTTTTTTTAGAAAAGATGCAGTCTTCTCATTTGAATAATGAAGAAAAAGTACATATTTGAACAAACCTCTCTCCCTCCTTTTCCTCTTCCTCCACTTGCTCTCTCTGAATTCTCCATCAATTCTTACTTTTAATTAGGTCTACAGTGGACAGGCCTAGTTTTTCACTCTGTATTATCCAGCAGAGAGAGAAGGGAAACGTGTGTGTGCGTGTGTGTGTGTGTGAGAGAGGGGGACTCTTTTCTCCCCATTTGAAGCCGCCACAGTCCCATTAGCCAATACGAAGCAGAGCTGGTTGATTTGGGTTATTGCGTGGCGCGACCGGAGCAGCCGGAGTGCAGGGCTAATGGCTCTCCGGCTCTTGTATTTCACTCTGTGCAGAAATCTGCTCCGTGACCTCGTTGTGAAGCTCATCATTCAGTCTGAGCATCATGGATCCCTCCAAAAAAAATAGAGTAAAATTGTGGAAATATAATGTCTACTGGCTGTTTGTTTGCCTTTCACTTTGTCTGTGCCTGCTGGACGTGGTCATAGAGAACACGTTCCAAACGGTGCCTCTTTTAAACTATTACAGGCTACAGGCTTAGTCCACAGTTAAAGTGCACCATGTATCGCGGTGCCAACCAGCTATAATATTCTACATAGAAACCACCAAGGCTGAATCCAGCTGTGGGGAAAGAAAGTGAAAAAATCTAAATTATATGGAGTCCAAAAACAGAATAGAACTGGAAATTCTCAACATTTGATATTACATATATTTAATGACAAAAAACAAGGTCACATTTTTGTTGATCTTAAATTTAGACAGTCCAACATTCTTTGAGTTTATACAGTCTCGCAAGAAAGGATAAACATTTTTTTTTTAAATCATTTCTTGCTATTGTTCCACAGAAAACGATTTATTTCCGCTAGTCTAACCCTAGACTACGGTTGTTTCTAGATGGCTTATTCCTGTTTTGTGTGTGTGTCACTGGCAGAAACTATAGCTCTGTAAGAGACACATAAGAGCCCTCACCACATGAGCACCCTATTTTAACAACGCACACCAAGAGAGGGTCAGGAGCAAGGTGAGCGAGAAGCCGACAGACGGACAAACAGACAGACAGTTAGAGAGGAGGTCGGGGAAAGAGCGAGTTCACCATCCCTCTCCCATTCACGCTGCTCCTCTTGTTTTTTCTCTCCTCCTCCCACTTCTCTCTCTCCGTTATGGCCGTCTCGCTCTCTAATTGAAGTGTTTTTGTGGAGTAGCTCCTCTCCAGACAGAGTAGGATAACTGAAAATAGTCTCTAAAACCAACAATCCCTTTTGTCTGCCAGCTCTTGTTCCTCTGAGTGGATGCTACGCCACCATCTCAACAGTGACACACACATGCACTCACACACATGCACTTTCAGCAGGAACACCTGAGCATATACAGACTCCTTGGACCTTATATTTTCACTCAATATCATTTTTCATATTTTATACGGCGTCAGCCAATTAAATGCAGTGAACGAATCTACAAAATATGCTATTTATTTTCCATTTTAAAGTCTGAATCATAATTAATTGTGATTATACAGGAACATGACAGGGTGTGCTCCTTCAACCTCAAACTCCTTCGCTAACTCTAAGCCTCCTGCGATGCAATTACAGCGCGGTCCCTCGTCTCCGTGCTGTTTTCATCCTCCACACTTATCTTAGGGCACGCTGAAATTAGTTTGAGCCCGCTTCCTCTGCCAGCGCTGCAGAGACGGGACACGGAGGGGGTAGGGGCTTCGCTCGGACATTACCTGGAGGATCTCTGAGTGGCGCTCAAACCTGAACGTGTAATTGGTTAAGACAGCCGCCTCTGGTGCTGGCGGCCAATAAGGTGAGAGTTCATCACCAATGACAACTGGATCCCTGCTACAACACAGCCCGCCATGTCATTAAAAACAGAATATTGGAGGGAAAATGGGGGAGGGTCACGGTTCCGCGGAAATCATTTCCAGCTCTTAATTTGGATAATTGCATTTAAATTTAATCAGACACAATTTGTGGGGACAACATTCTAACCATTTATGGTATGGAAGCTCTGGGATTATTTAGGAGGGTTCCAAATATTCACTACTGTGAGAATGTAGATGAGAAAAATATTATTTGTATTTGTGTAAAAATGTTTTAATACATTTTGTTGGGGATTTATTGATCTAGTGAAGTATTAATATGAATTTGAAAACAATATATGATCTGCAATTGATATGTGTAAAGAAGTATGCACAAAGGGATGAATCACAAAGTAGCCTCTTGAATATTTCCTTTTGTCTATTTTAATGTATCTGGGTTTCTATTGTAGGAGTTATAGCTGTCAATATCCACCTCAAACACTCTACATCAATAGAGCCCCACAAACCGATATGAAAGGCAATACCTACAGCTCATTGATCACGGTGACATTTACTTTGCGCACCCACTAAATGTCCTGCCCTTGTCACAACATTTGAAGAAAATCACTCCAATCAATGACACCAGCGCACACACACACTCACACACGCATTCACAAATGTGGAAGAAGGGCTTTGAACTCAATCGCAACTTTATTGAGTTTTGTTATGCAATTCTGCTGCTTTATTAATATTTCAATATTCCCCCTATTTTCAATGGGGATGCGTGTGGGACCTATCTTTTTAACATCGTGACCCAGTCTTTTCAAATGATAAGCTTGAACAAATAGCGCAACGGCCCCCGACAGTTTTAATGGAAAACAATGATCAAAGCCTGAATTAAGTTTTTAGTTCATTTTGAGGCGAAGGCGGGCGGGCTGGCAGGCGTGGGGAGCTGAGATCTCACTCCTTTCTGTCTACAAAGACATTGAAATGTGAGACATTAGTAAACAAATGGAGAATATATAGGACATCACTGGTTTTGATTATCATTGTACAGTATGCTATTCTCAGGAGGAGGAAATAACGTATTATTTTTATTTCTTCTTTAGTCTCTCGAGAGTTACATAACGGTAGTAAATTCTGAATTGAGGATTTTGTTGGAATATAATAGTATGAATGAATTTTGATTTTATGTTGAACCATATAATGTCTTCTGACATCTACAGTTCTTAAAGTTCTAATGCAATTTATATACGTTTTGGGAGTGATGCGCATCTAAAATGATTTCATATCCAATATTAGGATTTATTGAAATAGTTCATTTTAGGATTTCTGTAAAATGCTACTTGTTCTATATGATGAAACCAGTCTTGCTATAGAGTCAAAGTAAATTAAGCTTCAAATATGTTTTGCAATGTTTAAAACAATTTTTTTATTTCAATAACTGTGAATATAACAAATCAGAAATGATGAGGCGGAAATTTCTTATCATACTAATTCTTTTGCACGACATTATTGCGGCTACCGTCACGTCTTGAAATCAACAATCATGTACCGGCTATGTTTCCCACACCCCTGCTCGGTTGTCTTTCATCTTCTGCTTTGAACTTCTCTGGCCTTCAGAGCCACATCGCAGTCTGTATTCTCCACACCATCTATCCTCAGTCTTCTCTTCCTTTTGGCTATCCCGCCCCTCCCCTCCTTGTGGCCGTCCAGGCCATAGTTGTCCTGGAGCTTATCGTCTACTTGTGCATGTTCCCAGGGTGTTAATAGGAAACGACCTGCACTACTGTTTTATAAAGAGCTAAAAATGAAATGTACCGTTCTGATGAGTCCAGGTTATTAGAGCCGTAATGTGGTATGAAGGGAGGATGCTGTATACAATCTGTCTTAATAGTATGAGCCATTGAATAGCTGTTGGATCTCGATTTCCAATGAGCCAACAGACCTTTAGTGTCTACTGAAATGATGTCTCTCCCTTAACTAAGGTCACTTTGTGCTTCCTCTCTTTCTGTTTGCTCGGTAGGTAAGAGTGACCCGTTCTGTGTGGTGGAGCTGAGTAACGATCGGCTGCAGACGCACACGGTCTACAAAAACCTCAACCCGGAATGGAACAAGGTCTTCACTTTGTGAGTGGCTTTTATACCCTCGTCACACACTGTTAGCACGCACTGCAGTCATGGACATGCAACTATTTAAGGCTGATTAAGTCATGGTCAAAGTCTAATTTGTGGCATTTCTTGTTAGCATTATTTGTCTTTGTGTGTAGGGTTCTCAAATATTTTTTATTTTATTTATGGTCCAATGTGAACATAAAGTATTTATCACAATCAATAGTGCTGAATGCCTTTTTCGTGAATGAACTCTGAACTCAAAAAGTGTTTTTAAAATGCCTTGTAAACTCAGATTGTAAATTATGTATAACATTAAAATAAGAGTTGAAGGCTTTTCATAAATTTCCTCATACAAACAAGAATATTATTTCCCAATCATAGTTATAGTACGACTATGGGTTAATATAGATTTAACTATAATTTATATAATACAATTGAATTCTGAGTGATGGGACAGTGTAATTAAGTCATTACTTGCACATCTTTCATATAGTCTCCTTTCTAAACTCATCAGCTTCCTGCTTGCCTAATCTTTGGAGATGAAACATCTTTGCTTCACTTGTTTATGTCAGGCAAATTTAGTGCAATATCCCATGCTACATGTCAATGGAGATTAACATTTTGATATTTTATTTAAATATAAAAATATTTGCTGTGCCACCTAGAACGTTTGAGCATAGAAAGTGTTTTCTGTGTCCTAAGCATTTTGAGAAGCTCTTTCACACGGTTTCTGTCTGTAACCCATATTCAAGTGTTTTTTTCTGTGGTCCAGTAACGTGAAGGACATCCACTCGGTGCTTGAGGTCAGTGTTTACGACGAGGACCGAGACAGAAGTGCAGACTTCCTGGGGAAAGTGGCTATTCCTCTACTAAACGTAAGTCAAAGGCAGATTTTTCTGTGCGTTTCTTTCTCCTTCTCCTTTGGGGATAATAGAGATAACATAGAGGAACAGAAAGAGTGAATACACACAGTGGAAGATATAAAAAGCAGAGGTTATTTTTGCAACTGCACAGATGAGACTGTTATTTCACAAAGATGACAGGAAGGAGAAACAATGGGAGAGAGGCTAAGAAAAAAAAGAATAGATTGATAGGTTAAGAAGAAAGAGAGTGACAAGATCAAAATGACACTGATCGAGAGACTATGCGATTTATAGAAAAATAAGGACGGAAGAGTGTCTCTTATTTTTTTCTGTGAAAGTGTGAAAGAGTGTGTGAAAGTACTGTGTGTCTAATATATCCATGCTCCGCTGTACTGTATGATTCCCCAGGATAGTTAATTTCTGTTTGACAGAGCCGAGCTGCAGTGGGTAATGAACAGGTACTTGTCAGAGTTGCCACAGTTGTTTTGGGTTCCCTGTCAGCGGCAGCAGCTGGGGTTCAAAGGTGGCCCGGGGAGCCGATTCAGCCGGGTATTGCCAGACAGACGCCTGTCATGTCCCTCTCCCACAGATCCAAAATGGAGAACGCAAAGCCTACGCCTTGAAAAGCAAGGAGCTGACAGGGCCAACAAAAGGGGTCATCTTTCTCGAAATAGACGTGATTTTTAATGCTGTAAGTCTTTTTTGATTCTCTTCCCTGATTTTCTTTCTTTCATTTTACCCCCCCACACCCCATTATTCTCTCTCTCCAGCCTTCTCTCGTTCTCTCCGGCATCCCCCCCCCCCCCCCCCCCCCACACATGGTACCTTCTAAGTGTCATTGATCAACATAACAACAGATACGCACTCTGTGTCGTGAGTGCTCTTATGAATACATGAGCCCGCATCCGTAGCCAATGTCTTCTGGCTGGACCGACTCTAGGGCGTTTCCTCCTTGGGGTTCTACACAAATGCCGTCAGCACGCCGTACCATCTGCGAGAAGACCAAAGAGAATGTGCCATCAGCGCGGCTTGCGCACCAGGACACCTGCATATTGTCCTAGAGTGGAGCAGATGCATTTCCACAAGAGAACCCAGAGGTTACGATGGGAAGTCTTGTCATATTGAGACCATATATAAGCCAGTCGCTGCCTGCCTATGCAGGCCATGAATGTGGACAAGATCACTCCAGTGGAATGGAGAAGAGCCGTCGTCCCAACAAAAGATTGTTTGTTGTGTAGAAAACGGCCTCTGAGGGTTGCCTTTCCTTTCGAAAAGCAAGGTACCCATCATAGAACACAATGATAACTCTCTCCCTTTACCCGATCTGGACATTTGAAATTTTAAAAAATATCGGCCCCAATATATTCTCGAAAGCCGGAAATGGAGAGGGGG